TCGGACCTGTTCGGCAGGCAACGCTTGACACCAGGGTTCAACACACCCAGGAAGGGTGCTATTCAGCGGAGGTAATTAACTCACAGGGAACGCGCTCATGAAGGTCACACGGGGGTCTTGCTGTCGGTATCGCTCCATCCTCTCGAGCCCGCTTTCTCCCGTTGCGGGGCTGAACTCGTTTACGGGCTTGACCCCGCTCAGAGTTCCCAGGGTAGGGTTTCCCGTGTTCCAGCCGTAGCCCTGGATGGGCTCGGTAACAGAGGACGCGTGTGAGGAGAGAGAAGAACCGCTCGGTGGCGAATCGTGCATACTTGTCCAGAAACGATTTTGGAATTCTGCTAGATCGCAAACCAACTACTCTAGATATATTGCATCACAACACGCACCAGTGTAGATAAAATAGAAAAAAGCTTGTGTTTTCCTACCCAACGGAGGTGAAGAGGTATGCGAGTTACGCGGGGACACTCTCCATACCGGGACGTGTCACTCACATATCCGTAAAGCTGGTCCAACATGACGAGGGTCCCTCTCCAGCTCGAAGGAAGCGCGTCCATTAGCACCTGACGTGTCGAGCGCGAATCGCACAATGACGTACGTAAGCTGTTGCAGACTGTCTCTGTCTCTGTCTCTTTCTCTGTCTCTGTCTCTTCTTACCACCCCCATCTGGTGCCGTCTCTTGCAGAACATCCTACGATCTTGCCTCAGAGATGGAGACACTGCGATCGGGGGTCATACCAAAAACTTCTATGCGATGCAATTTCGTATCGACACGGTTCCGTAATCATGTTTCCCTCGTCAGGCCGTCAACGTTTTGGTATTGTCTCCAGAACAAGGATAACTCGAATCAGTGGCCGCCCGTACCCTGCCTTTGCCAAGCCGGGTTGCCCAATATCTCCAAGAGCACGCCCTACATTAAACAACACACCTCCCCCTTCCGAACCACTCACGCTGATTTGCAAGTTTGGGGCCTCGTCCAAGTCTATCATGTTGGACGGGGCCCAGATCACGGACGGCCAGGGCTTGTTTTCACGGAAGATTGTGTCTTGCAGAAACAGCTCGGCGGAGCTCACGTATGCCGCCGTGCTGCCGCTGGCGAGCTTCTCGTCGTTGCAAACAGTGGCATCATCGACCGAGGATACGGTGTACAGCCGGAGGTCCTGGGGGGGGGGATCGGGGTGTACCTTTAATGTTTTTGCATGCCTTAGCGGTTAGACCATTGACCACGCTTCCTCGAGAGGACGGAGCATTGTTCCCACAGGAACCATCACCGCTGGCCAATCGTTGTTTATTTACTTCTCACCTAGTGGGGGCCATGGAGCGAAAAACACCGCGATCACTCGCAGAGTGCATCGCGAGTGAAGACACCGCAGGAAAGAGAGGACAAGGGCGTTGGTGGAAAATCACCCACAAAGATGCCAAGCAAAAACGTCCCGCGGGAAAATCACCTGGTAGCTAATCCGGAGGTTGCCGATACGGACGTCGATGAACCCCCAACACTTCTTCACGACGCTGGTGGAAAAATCGTCTTTCTGTCCCTGGGCGAGAGCCATGTCCAAGATCGTCAGGAAGATGCCTCGCAGGATGGAGTTCCCCAGGGCGAGAAGCCACGTGGGCTCGTCCAGGCCGGCCAGTAGCATGAGGTCGTCGTAGGAGAACGCCTCGTAGACGCACGTCTTGGGCTGGAACACCCACCCGTCCCGCAGGACGCCGTGGTTCCTGGCCGCAATGTTCGAAGAGACCCACGAGCCCGTGCGCCAGTAGGAAGAAGCCAAGTCTTCCTCCTCGCCTTCTCCGCCGCAGACAGGGAGGGCGTCCACGTCCACCGCAGGGTCTCCCGAGACGGTCAGGGAGAACGGGCTTCCGATGATCGGCCTGCCCCGCCCGAAGCGGTCTTGGACCTGCAGGTTAACGTCTTCGACGTGGACGAGGTAGTCCCCCGGGAAGGAACTCTCGTAGGTGGCGGTGACAGTCCCGTTGCCGTTGTTCCGCACCCCAGCGACGAAAACGTTGTCCTCGCTCGCCACCCAGACGTAAATGAACCGCTTCTTGTCCACGTTGTAGTCCCAGTCGGGGTTCTTCTCCCCCTGCTGCTCCGGCCGAGCCCCACTGCCGTCGACGCCGGCCAGTCGGATCGTGAAGGACGCCGGGACCCCGGTGGACGCCAAGCGGAGCCCCGGCCCGGTCGCGGTGTGAGGCGCCACGCGTACGTCTGCGCCGTACGAGCGCGTCTGGTTATGTCGACGCGGCACGATCGGCGGAATGAGAATGAAAGAGGGGTAAACTGAAGCCACACCACTGCGATGGGCCAAGGAGCAGACTTTGCAGCGCGCCGGTGTCAAACAAATCAACCCCCCTCACGAAGACCGACGCGGGCAACATGTACAGCGATGCACACGCGTATACGCCAACCACACGGGGCTGCGCTGCCCGGAGGTTTTGAAGACAAAAAAAAACTTGCGTTGCTTTCGAGGCATTTCTGCGACTACCGTCTCCGCGGGGTTCTGGAACGGCAGTAGTATGCTAACTCCACGGAACTACAACACCACCGTGAGCAGTTATTTCTGGACGTACCTGCCAACGCTCTGGTTGACCCTCGAGGAAAGGGGGCAGCATCGGCGAGGCCAGCGGCTGGTGCTCATATTGACGAAAATTCAACTCTGGGTCGCCCTGGTTCGCCGCTGTCCCCGCCTTTACCGCCGCCAAGTACAACATGGCGGCGGCGGGCCGCGACACCGACACCATCTCTACCAACTCCTCTAAGCGCTTGTCTGTCTACGCCCAACGCACCTCCCCTCCCGCTTTGCTCTGACGCAAGCCTGCCGGCAGTGCGAATGGCAGTTTCAGGGGAAGGCCAAGAGAAACAGCAGACGTGTTCCAAACGTACGTAAGCGCAGTGCGTGCTTGATGGATGCTCTTATCAAGGTCGCCATGCACTGCTGCCGCTTTTTGTGAGGACGCATCCAGCAAACAAATGAATGACAAACATTGTGGAGTGCTTCTTGCGCTGTTGTGGGCCAAAATAGTATCACCTTTACGGTACATCCCACACGTTTCGTTTCTCTTTGTTGACCACTCTTGAACCCGTGTATGCATCGGGGTTGAATCCATGGCGCTAGGGATTGTCGCGGGAGCTGACCAGCTTCTTCGAATCATTCAGTTCCCGCCGCTGGCAAGCAGCTTGAGTAGGCGAGAACTTCTACGTAGCTGCTTGAAACGGGGGACGAGACCGAGAAAGATTACTCGGTCGAGAAAAAAGGAAATGTGAAACGTGTTCAAGTCTTCGCAATGAAGCATGTGGGTAAACCTGCTTGCATGCTAAAAAGCTGGGGTCTCGCGCGTGGAGGCCACACAGCCGCACAGGAGTTTTTGTTCCTCTTCATCATGCCTATCTTGATGTTTACCGAAGTAGTTCTTTATCGAGAGAAGGAACCATTCCTTTTGCCTTTTCTTTGCCCACCGTACATACCCCGAGATATGTACCCGCAACCCACATTCATTGTTTGGGCATTGTAGATCCTACTGTGAGAAAAAACCCAGTTGGTGTCACTGAAAAGAGATTCGAACCCACACCCGTTACGTCAGATGGTTGCGAGGGTGCCGACTGAACCACGCAAGTCACCTGCTGTGTTGTGACCATGCGCTCTGGTGAAAGACAAAAATGTCGTTGATGTGTACATGTCAATACTGGAACATGGCATCACAGAAATATCCCAATGGAAGGTTTACGTTGAAGTCTTTGCAGTGAGTGGGAGCATAGCCTGCTCAGCAGGACGTACGTCTACAAGCCCATAAATGCAGCGTTGTAACGTTCTTTGTACGCATAGTCTAAACCAATTAAAATTAAAAGTTGCACAGTAGTAGTTATTTTTCCCCCAATCAATTTGATAGAAAAAAAGGAAGACCGGTGTGTGAGTTTGTGACCTCGATACATGTACCCTATTCCCTCCACTGCCAAGAGCGGGTACAGAGCAGTGTACAGAGAGACGCCCAGTCGGGACCCACCAAGAACCAAACGCAATAATTTATTTGTTGTTCTGCTTTATTCGAGGGTGCTGCGCGTTTGGTGCACAGACGCCCGCACAAACGCAATGCAACGCGTTAGGGGATTGTGCCGCCTGTTGGAACCATGCTAATCTTCTGCACAGGAAAAAGTGTGTCAATTGAACTCTTTGGTGGGTACAGCAGTGCTCTTTACGATGCTGCAACGGGAATATTTATCCTCCTGCTTCGAAAGGAAGAGGAGCAATCGACTGAGAATCGGTTTTCAATTTTCAACGCGCAAAAACTGAAGGCTGTTATGTACTCGATCTGTTGCTTCCGGCGGTCTTGCTAGAAAGTACAACCATCAACACCTTGCTGAGGCAGTAACATTTATTTCATACGGGTGTCGTCGCACATGAAACTGCTGTGGTGGCGCATGATTCAGGGGGCAAGACAAGGTCCGCCTCCATGCTCCATGCCCCACCCCGTTGTCGTCGGTTTCAACGGCAGCCACGCCAGATCCACGCCTGCTCCACGACTGCTCAATACAACTGCTGTACTTGCATTTGGTTTGCGATTCTTTCGCCCAGCATGATTGCCTAGCAGGCAAGTACCAGGACGCGCGATGGCCTGGGGCTGGGAACCTCGTTCGTTTCTATGAACGTCACTGAAAAGCAACGGGACAAAGCGCTCGAAGGGTTACGCTCTCGTGGTACAAGGTGCCGAGGGACGAGGGGCCCATGAAAATGCGCACCCACACAAAGAAGGTTCCGCCGTGTTTTGCACACTGTTTTACCAAACACGTGCTTACCTTCCGCCCCCGTGATGTTCTCATGCGGAACGTGGCTCATGCAGGGCTCTACGACAAGGATACAACGGAGGAGCGCGAGGGAACCCCAGCGAGAGCGAAAAAGGGCTGGTGCAAGCTGGTGGCGCGGCTGGTGTGATGGTCCGGGTGTTGGCAGCGTGTCCGAGACGTCAAAGAGAGGCGGCGGAACTGTGGAGATTTCGAAATTTCCTTGGTTGCACCCAGCACCCTTGCCTCACAAAATATGCAGACTGCCCTTGCCCTCCAGCTGGTTCATCACCTGGCTGCTGCTCTGATCCTTCTAGCGTTAATTCCTGTCAGGGGTTATACCCCGCCAGCTGCGAGCATGACTCTCAACGGAGGAGGACTGCTAGCGTCGTTCTCTTTCACGCGGTAGGTGTCCACCCCTCCATCTCATTTTGCGGCACCAATCTTGTCTGTGTGTGTGTACAAGTTCATGACACTCGACCATCAATCGCATGCAGGGCGCTCTTGATACCTCCTATGCGTACGTCCGGGAAACCGATCGGTCGCAAGCCTCTGGCAGCTAGGTCTGGAGCTCGAATTTCATTTCATACTCTCCAAAATATAATGGGGCAGTACGTGTCAACATGTGGCGACAGCGCCCGTACCCGAAGGTATACAGCAGTAGTACCGTGCAGTACCGGTCTTGTACGGGTAAAAAGGACGGCCGCATGCATTAGAATCGTTTGTTCATGAGTGCACTTGAGCGAAGCAACCGCTGAGCCACACTCGCGTTAGCAAGGAAGGCGCGCACCGTGGGGAACCTCTCCTGTGTCGCCCCGTATCGTAACTCGACAGTTGAGATGCAAGACTTGCCTGGTTTCTTAAGGTACCACACCCCCTACACCGGTTCTCAAAACACGATAACCGGTACTCCCGCAGCAGCTCTGCAGCAGAAACAATGGCTGTGCCGAAAATGGCGACGTTGGAACCGTCTCGTCAAGAGAATCCGACAACGATTCATTTAATGTTGGCTTTCTCTTCGCCATGGAGTAACCGAGCTTTAAGCATCGGCCCAAGAGGTTGTTGTATCTGGCGCAATCTTAGGAGTAGATGCATGAAACGCTCGAGGGTGGTTCTGTCAGCGTTCTCAATGATATGTCTCTTTTTTTGTAACGTTCGTTCGACGGCTTTCACTTCTTCGCATGTACCGTATCTCATGGGTGTGGCAACAGCCGTCGTCCATCGGTGGTCGGTCTTATCGGCGGCATTGCCTCTGGCAAGAGCACCGTTTCGAAGGCCCTAGGCACGGCGTGCGGGCTGGCGGTGATCGACGCCGACAAGCTGGGGCACGAGAGCTACCAGCCAGGCACCCGCTGCTTCGGCAAGCTGGTGGACGCGTTCGGGGAAAAGATCATTGCCGGGGATGGCACAATCGACCGCCGTGCGCTTGGACAGGCGGTAAGGTGTAGGTCGTGCTTCGGAGTGTTCTTTGTTCCGATGTGCTGCGGTAGTACCCTTGCAGCGCAAGACCTTGCACGGCTTTGCAATCGATCCTTTGTCCACCCAACCCGGCGCACACCCTCTTATCACACCATTATACTGCCGTTGTACGTAGATGGTTGACAAGGTGTTGAGCAATCTGCCCACCCACATCGCATGGACGACGATCACGACGACGGGTGGTCTTCAATGTCTAGTTCTTCCTTTGCCGGCCCCCCGGTGTCAATACTTTTTGTTGGTCCGCACGCATCAGGTGTTCGGAAACCCTTCCAACATGGCCAGGCTGCAAGGCATCGTTTGGCCAGAGATCCGCCTCCTAGCGGAGGCGAGGATCGAGGGGCTGGGCAGGGAGGGCGCCGAGTCCGTGGTTCTCGAGGCCGCCGTGCTTCTAGAGGCCGGGTGGGACGATCTCTGTGACGAGCTGTGGGTCGTCCAGGTGCCCCCGGAAGTGGCGCGGTAGGTGTACATCATGGATGTGGTACGGTATTTGTTGTGTTTTTTTGTTGGCTATGTCTGGGGTTGCTGCTCGACAGACGAGGCGTGTTAGCGTTTTTTTTTCTCGGCTCTGGCTTCGTCGGTCTAGCGGCGGTCATCGGGAAGGGGTAAGGGCAGTCGCGCTGTCTTCCTGTGCTACAGCAGTACTTAGTTTCCAATTTTGCACGGGGGGCGCGACTGGTGACAAGTGAAAGAGGATTCCAAGAAGCCTCGACGGACAAGGAGGTCAGGCACACAGGAATATGTGTCCAAAGCATTCGTCATGTCGTGTCTTGAACTACCAAGCGGCAGATCGCGGGTGTACGAGTCTCTAGTCTTTGCGGAGACCGGGTTATGTTCTGCGTTCTTCCCCACGCAAACCCCTCTCATAGTCTACAAAGCGCGGTTCATTGCAACCGCCTCGTAACGTAGACGAAAATCATGCCTGCTCGTTGCTTGCCGTGAAAAGAAACAACGCACGCACGCTTTCAGGGCGCGATTGATGAAACGCAACGGGTTCGACGAGGCGGAGGCCGACAAGAGGATAGCCTCGCAGCCCATGACCAACCAAGAGAGAGCGGCCCGTGCGACAGTGGTGCTCTCCAACGAGGGCACGGAGGAGGACTTGGTGGCGAAGGCAGGTTTCGACTGATTTTGCCTGTGCTGCCATGTTAGTCTACCACGCTCTTAACGGGGGAGGGGTCGGAGGGGCATGGAATGGAGGGACACCGCTGTGCGGTGTTGCTTTTGTTTCGCATGGATGGGCTTGTGCACATCCTTGGCAAAGATAAACATCAGTATCCCTGTTAAGACTCGATCGAAATAGCTTCAGCGGCTGAGGAGCACGTTTGAATTCCGCGTTTTTTAGCAAAAGGCGAGCGAGTACTGCTGCGCGTCCAGAGCAACGGCTGTTTGATTTTTGCTACGACCGCATGATCGGATTTGGTTGTTGGCTGGTCTCGGGCAAAACGCCTCTATCACGTCAAGTACTTCCCTGGTCCGTGATGGTAAAAGCGCTGTGTACTTTTGTACCATAGGTTCTAGAATAACACCCAGCTTTATGGTTGTATGCTTGCTCTGTCGCGTGATTTCCAGAGCGCGCCATTCGCCTCTCCTCAACGCCCCCCCCCCCCCCCCCCCCCCCCCCCCCCCCCCCCCCCCCCCCCCCCCCCCCCCCCCCCCCC